GGCTAGTGTCCGGAGATTTCCAGAGAGCCTTTGTCAAGGCCCCTCACCAATGGCTCGGAAGCCAAGGGAGCTCTCACTCCTGTGGGGTCAGAGGGAAGGTCCCTTCGTGGATGGCCACTGCTTAGAGGACAGGGAACAGAGGGCCCACTTTCCGATGGGGGAGGTAGCTAGTGCTGCCCCCAGGGGCCGCGTTGGGATCAGTCCCGTACTGCACGTTCATCGGTGATCTGGAGAAGGAAACAGCGAGGTGGCAGCATTTGCAGGTGACACCAAACTGCTCAAGAGAGCAAAGTCCAAAGCCGACTGTGAAGAGCTTCCAAAGGATCTCACCAAGCCAGGTGACTGCACAACACAATGGCAGCTGAACGTTCATGTTGCTAAATATGAAGTCATGCCCTTTGGAAAACATAACCCGGCTCTGCCTGCAGAACGACGGGGACTGGGTTAGCTGTAGCCACTCAAGAGCGATCTTGGAGTCACGGTGGATCGTTCTCTGGAGGCGTCCACGCCGTGGGCAGCGGCAGCCAACAGGATGTTCGGAATCATTAAAAAGGGAGAGAGAATAAGACGGAGAATCTCTTACTGCCGCTGGATAAATCCATAGGACGCCCACAGCCTGCATCCTGCATACACGTGTGGTCGCCTCATCCCAAAAAGGTCTCTTGGCATTGGGAAAAGTTCAGAAAAGGGAAACAAAAATGCTGAGAGGTTTGGAACGGCTGCCGTGAGGCGAGGGTAATAAAACGGGGACTTTTCAGCTGTGAAAAATGGAGGCTAAGGGGGGATAGGACCGAGGTCTGTAAAATCTTGACCAATGTGGAGAAAGTGAATAAGGAAAAGTGATTGACTTGCTCCCATAACACAAGAACTAGGGGTCACCCACGGACGTGAATAGGTGGCAGGTTTGAAACAACCCAAAGGCAGCATTTCTTAACGCAGCGCACGGTCGGCCTGTGGAACTCCTTGCTGGAGGATGTGGCAGAACTTGAACAGGGTTCAGAGAAGAGCCAGACAGGCCCATGGATGGCTGGTAGCCAGGCTGGGCAGGGCTGGGAATGGGCGGCGGGGAGGGATGGCCGGATGTGGCGCCTGGCTGACGCTGGAGCCCAGAGGGCGAGGGCGCATTGCACAAGGCTGGGAAGGGAAGTCGGCAGCTCTGAGTGTCTCCTCCAGGTCTTCTTCCTGAGCAGCAGAGTCCACCCCGGGGAAACGCCCTCCAGCTTCGTCTTCAACGGCTTCCTGGAGTTCATCCTGCGGGGGAGCGACCCCCGCGCCCAGATGCTGAGGCGCATGTTCGTCTTCAAGCTGGTCCCCATGCTGAACCCGGACGGCGTGGTGCGGGGCCATTACCGGTGAGCTGGGCGCCAGCTCCGTGGGCCTCAGGCAGGAGCAGAGCTGGCTCCGAGCTCTGCAGGGACTGGCAGGCTAGGTCCTGCTCTGCTCCCCGGCCTGGCCGGGGGAGGGCTGCACTGTCCTTGCTGGCTTTGCAGGAGAGCAGGGTCGGGGGCCTGGCGTGTGGGGCCCATGCAGTGCTCCCTTTGGGCCAGGGCCAGGCTGGGGGGCTCCCGAGAGCGGCTCCTGC